TCCCCTTGACAACGTTTGGGCATAGTTCGTTAATAAGCTCAGCGACATCGTCAACGAAGCATCAGAGACCAAATCCCTTCATCCCGCGAAAATGCCTTCAATTATAAGGAGTAGGACTCGCAAATGCTTGGCGATAAGGGAGGCAGCATGGCGTGCCTACAAGATTAACCCCGACCCAGAGACTTGGGGAAATTTCCTGGCCCATCGCAACCATTGCACCGCACTTGTCCGTGAGGACAAAATAACTTATCAACAGTGCCTAGCCAAAAAGTTCATGGCAAACAACAAACTGCTGTATAAGCATGTCAATAAGCTTCATAAAGTGAAGCATGGAATACCCCCACTATTCACGACAGGCGGTAGAGTACAAAGCGCCGAAGAAGCAGCTAATGCCCTGCGGCTGCAATATGCCCCAATTTTTGAACTCGCAACATCTACCTGTCCCATAATATCAAGCTCATTACCGACACCTTTGTTTACAAATGTTATTTTCAACCCATCAATTGTGCTAAGGAACTTACTCTCACTGCGTGAACATAGTTCTCCGGGAGCAGACAACATCCGCCCGAAGGCACTGAAGGCTGTGGCCACCAAGCTAGCTGAACCACTGTCACAGTTCTTTCAAAGGTGCATTGATGAACAACAAGTCCCCACTATGTGGAAGTGTGGCATTATAACCCCTATTTTTAAAGGCGGTAGCCGTTCCGATCCTACAAACTATCGTCCAGTGACTCTCCTCCCTGTGCTCGCGAAGGTGATGGAAGCAGTTGTCGATGAGGCTTTAATGGACCACCTGGAAAAATGCAACATTTTGGTACCGGAACAGCATGGCTTCCGTCAAGACCGGTCATGCACCACCAACCTACATATTGCACGAGGTAATTGGACACAAGTGGCCGATGATGGGGTCGGAGTCGATGTCATCTATCTGGACTTCTCCAAAGCTTTTGACCGCCTTGATCACCGCATCCTACTTCAAAGACTACAAAGTTACGGAATCGGAGATCCTGTACTTGGTTGGATTGGCAACTTCCTTTACCAACGAAAGCTCCAAGTACGTGTTAAGGGATCACTTTCTAACACAATTGAGGTGGAAAGTGGTGTCCCGCAAGGCTCAGTGCTGGGACCGCGTTTATTCCTGGTGTTTATCAACGACCTGGCAAAAGTCATCTCCTCAAACTTCCTGCTTTTTGCAGATGACGTCAAGATATGGCGGGCGATCAGTAACTAGGCAGATCAGGATCTGCTCCAACATGACCTAGATTGCATTTACGAATGGTCATAGAGGAACAAGCTTCAATTGAACATGGCTAAGTGCAAAGTGATGCATCTGCGTCACCAGCTGGTGAGCGCTTACAAGAGTGGAGACCACACCTTGGAGAAGGTTTCTCAGGAGCGGGACCTGGGTGTATTGGTACAGGAAGATCGCTGGTGTTCCAAACAAGCAGAGAAGGCGAGGAGAACTGGAAATCAACACTTCGGCCTTCTTCGCAGAGCCTTCGGTCGGTTTGAACCATCAATATTTCCCCAAATGCTTAACGCTTACGTGCGACCTCACGTGGAATATGCTATTCAGGCGTGGCAGCCGTGGCAGAAACAGGATCTCGTTGCTCTCGAGACTCCTCAACGACCAGCAAACAAGAACGTCAGGGGCCTCTTTCATCTGCCCTATCAGCTTCGACTGAAATCTCTAAGAATATACAGCAGTCGATATCGGCTTTTGCGCGGGGGGATCTCATAATGGTTTACCAGATTCTGAAGAACCCATACCACATTTGCCGTCCGCTGCTGGAATTGAACCCCAACACAAAACTAATAGGTCACCCTCTGAAACTGACAATTCATTATAGCCGGCTTGAATGCCGTAGAAATTTCTTTTCTCTCCGCGTATGTGAGCCTTGGAATGCCCTCCCTAATTATGTCGTCTCTGCTCCCAATCTGGCGATATTTAAAAAACGTGTTGACGAAGCATTGTCTCACTTACATTTCATTTTATGACTTCTTAGCCAGGGGCTACAAATCGCAATCAAACGGTTTCTTGCCAAACGCCCAACCATTGGATTTATGGATTTATACGTTTAATATGCGAACATCTCCGCTATTTCACATAAGTTTATGGTGAGTCCACCACAAAGCTTTTCACTTTATTATGCAATTAGTTTTCGCAATAATTTCTATCCCACGGGACTTGTTAAGCGATGCTTTTTTTTACCCGTAATAAACCAATGTAAATTGTCCATCTGAAACAGACATTGTTCGGAACACATTCAGACATGGCAAAAATCCGCGCGCAATGACGAATTTGTTTTGAGTCTCTTATTCCATGAATTCCGGATTTTTCTTTCCCCTTCTTTGCGCATTATATTTCCCCCAGCTGTGGAGTTATACCAATTACCATTCTGCACATGATCAATATATATATATATATATATATATATATATATATGGTTGGCGGCATACGGTTTCGGAATAGCCTGTCACTGTGGTCAGCCACAGAACGCCTGCGTCTTCACAGGGACCATGGGTGGCTTGAGCTACATCACCCACAGCTCCAACCACACACCCCATATCCAGTGTAAACCCGAAGGAATAAGACCGGGAGGCATGCGGATGGGATCCACGTTTCATCAACGGAGCCGGTCCACACTCCTTCACAGGCAAACCCAAACACGCAAGGCGGTGTTTGGAACGTAGTCCGCTCCACACTGAGTGCATGAACCGCTATCTGATCTTACCACGGCCCCAAAGGCCGTGCACCCGGTCCCATCCAGCAACGACTAAATGCTTTCTAGCGCCAGTATGGACGAGGTAATGTGTAACAGACAGGTTGGCACCTTGTCAACATGCACATCAAGCGCAGCCACACCAGCAGATCAATCAACAGCCCGTCACTTAAAATAACATTATGAAATAAAACATATCTGTTAAAGAATACCGCTATGCAGATATAAATCTTACCTAAATTACCCTATGAAGTAAGTTGGTTAGCAGCGAACCCGCGATAAGTAAGAAATGTCCAGCATTGATTCAAAAATGGTGCAAACGAATTATCGTTAAGGAAGATAAATACAAGTAACAAAATAACGTGGCTAGTTATTAGAAGGTTTTTCAGGTAGGCAGAACAAATCAAATAAAGTGGAATAGAACTTATCCAGCTTAAAAAGACCTAGTTGATGTGCAATTTGGTTTAGCCCAACTGTGGTGAATAAGCATCACGAATGCAACAATAGCCCCAGCATAGGACACCATATATATATATATATATATATATATATATATATATATATATATATATTCTACTAAAGCAAGTCCCCCTAATTTGAAGAGGGCTGGGCGAATTCTATCTGCCCCTACGGCCTTATGCAATTTCAATAGCCTGATCCCACGTTCGACGTCGGTGCGTGTGGCCGATATAAGGAGACGTCCCATGGAGAAGGGTGATCAATGCCCGAAAATGAAAGCGATAAATTAGTTTGGTTAGATTGCCTTGCAATGTGTCCGGCCCAATGCTCCAAGCGTTTTGACAAGCTGTGGCTCGGCTACCCATTCTCGTCACGTATTGTCTCGATAACACCAGGTTTCCTGCTGCCTATTACCAGTATCAGATGGAATAGTTTATGGCCATTGCGAATGGCAGCGGCTGTTTCCATTTCCGATGTACGATGAGATATCCAGGCTTCGCGGTCTCTCTTCAGGCTAGCACGCATTTTTGCCCTGCGACTTTGCCGGTCTCATTGCATTAGCTTCCAGCCGGAATACGTCGGCGAGCATCCATAAGTTTTAGAGCCAGTATCGCCACCTAATGTCCTGTTTGGCAATTTGATTTGCCACATGAAGACATGCCTGCTGATATTAGCGTTTGATGAATATGCGACCAGTGATCTTCGACGGTGTTCAGTGGGCGCTTACTCAGTCCGGATGTCAGCGCACTTTGATACACACCCAGAACACCTGGCTTCGCCAGCTGGCTGGTGTCAATCCGTTGACATCAACGGTGCGGACGTCCACCGAAAGGCACCCGGAGGTCGGTGCAAACAAGTGCGTGGTCAGAGTCCACACTCGTGCTCCAAATCGAGCGAGTTTTGGACCTAGCCTTTCCAGAGGTAAATGATCGCGATATGATCGATTTGCGTCCATTGTTGGTGCGAAGCTGGTGGGCGCCAAGTCACGCTTCTGCGAGTGCTGTGACAAAAATTTGTGCTTGCGAGAAAGAGTCGAGCATCTTCACATACCTGTTACAATCTCGCACCGTTATCATTACAGGAGCCTACACCATATCGGCCGCCCAGATGAAACCCATCAGAGGAAAATTTTCCGACTTGGGCATTTAGATCGCCAGCCAAAACCATAGTATCGTGCTTCTTCTGTACCGAAGAGATCGTTAAGTTGATTATAGAAATGATATTTCCCCGAACCAGGGTTGCTGTTTGTGAGGACGTAAGCCGCAATAACAAACAGGCACTGATTGTCCCCGCGGAACAACGAAGCTTGGAACGAGCAAGCCGACCTAACGGCGCACATCCGGCTGTTGACAATGATCCAGTGGATCAGGACATCTTCCCCCCGAGGAGTTAAAACTGCCAACCACAGCTTGACCTGTATTTGAAGCGGCGTCATCGCCAGACAGGCGCAATGAGAATGTGCCGCCAGCGTCTCTTATGAGGGATCGCAGAGTAAGCATAGGGCTCGAAGCTTGCAGGCCGGTTTCTGATAAACAGCAAATATCGATCGATAGGGTCTCTAGTATACGCGCAAGTGCTGCCTGTTGGCCAACCTGCAGCAAAGTGCGCACGTTGAGGCATGCCAGTCTTAGCGAGACACGAGGACTCCAAAGGGAAACGGAGGAACTGACGTTGTCAGCTTGGTTGAACATGGACTTGTCGACTGGATTGGAGCGACATCCTGCGACTGTGTGTGAGCTGAAACTAGAAGACAAGTGACTATTGTAACAATGACTTCGCATTCATCTGCCTTGCTATCGTGTAGGCCATGAAGCAAAACAACATAGGATCATTTATTAACTGAAGTGCCACTGACAATCCACAAAGTGTCGCCGCATTCAGGTGTATGTCCATTATTTAACTGAATGTTTTCGCTTTCGACAGATTTAAAACGATCTTGGATCGTTATTGTGCGTCGATTTTCCATAAAAGAGGAACTCAGGATGATTCCAATTCCCTTGATGTGATCGGCTACTGATGCCGCCATTCGCTGCATATCAGGACTGAATTAAAGCACAGTCAAGCGCCGGTGACCTACGTACGACATCAAGTTTTCAAATGATTTCCGTTTTCCAGTCATCACCTGATTGGAACGTCGCAGGCCTTCCTGAGTGAGTCCGGTTTCGCGGTTACCCGCCGCCAATCTGAGTGAAAATGCACCCTAAAATTCCCATTAGCTTACCTGGACTGTACAGTTTTTGAAACACCTTTCAACCACTGGAATCGAGAAGCAGTTGGACTGACGAGTTATTTAATAAACAAACGTGTAACTGAGACTTACTTGTTCTTAATGCTGACTTTGGCATTTCTACAAAGGTTTGTGATTGGAGTTACTGGTGTTAGACCCGGATTATTGGAAGGTTTTGGAAATTTGGATAATCGATATTGAACGATGTAGTCATCTGGGTTGTCTAAATGCTTGAAAGTTGTCATAAACTTGTAATTATTCCCTGTGTAGCTATCTCTGTTGTTCCTCTTGTCTCTTCTTGTCTTCTTATTTGATGCTGATACAACCTGTTTGCATGGCAAACAGAGGGTAAACTTGATCATATCAGAAGGCCAACCAGTCAATAAAGATGTATTCGAGTGCACTGATGTTGTCTCCTTTACGTTCATGCATTTAAGCAATCTTTCAGTTAATGCTCTACGCCGGATGGGACAGCAGTTACGACAACCGTCTTCAGGATTAAATATGTACAAGGGAGTCTGAGGGACTTTCTCGCATACTTCCGGTAAAGGTTTTAATGTAGTCTGTCGGCGACGCGTTCTGCGGATTTTCACCGAGTTCTTATCTTTCCCTAATTTTGGGCTAGGTTTGCTGGCAGACATATACCGCTGAGGCATGATCGTCTGTAATCTGACCGCGAAGTTCAGCTGCAGTGACAGACGCACTTGGTCACATGCAATGGAAACAGTGATCGATTCAAGGGTCCGAACAGCAGTCACGTGATGTGCGCAGCGTTAACACACCAGACAGAGAAAAGTCCAGGAACGGTAAACGATAAGACGCAGACTACGGCTCACATTAAGCAGATTGTTTATCTTTCGGTCGATTCTAGCAGATACACTGTATCGACTATCACTGTCCACCTTATCGCAAGAGCTAACCAACCAGAGGTGCAACCAACCGCCTTACTGTGAACACTTCAGGGTAGTGTGAAGAGAGAAACTCGAAACCCCTATGTTACTTGAGGTATTACAAGAGGAAGAACACAGAAATATTACAACAAACATAAGAGACCACTGATAATAAATTACTGAAAAGATTTGGAGGTCGCAGCGTTAAAATTGGCTACCGAAAAGCCAAAAAGTTGTTATAATACCCGCATAATAAACTATATATGTATACATAGATATATGATTGGCGCATACGGTTTCGGAATAGCCTGTCACTGTGGTCAGCCACAGAACGCCTGCGTCTTCACAGGGACCATGGGTGGCTTGAGCTACATCACCCACAGCTCCAACCACACACCCCATATCCAGTGTAAACCCGAAGGAATAAGACCGGGAGGCATGCGGATGGGAACCACGTTTCATCAACGGAGCCGGCACACACTCCTTCACAGGCAAACACAAGCACGCTGTATTTGGGGAATCGACCGCACACAAGGCGGTGGCTGGACCGTAGTCCGCTCCACACTGAGTGCATGGAACCGCTCTTTAAGCCTAACACGGCCACAAGGACCGTGCACCCCGTCCCCTCCAGCAACGACCAGCTGTCTCCTGGAGCCAGTATGGACGAGGTGGTGGGTAATAGACAGGTAGGCACCTTGTCAACATGCACATCAAGCGCAGCCACACCGGGGATATCAAACAACAGCCATTCACTTGAAACGTCAAAATGAAATAAAATAAATTCAAGGATGCATTCTGATACGGTGGCATAACTCTTCGCTAAATTACCATATGAATTAAGTTGGTTAGCGACGAATCCGTGATAAGTAAGTAATGTCCACGAGTTACTTACAAATGCTACAAACGCAACAGTTAACGAAGATAAGCGCAATTAGCGTAGGCAACGTGGCCAGTTAATTGAAAATTATTCAGTTAGGCAGAACAAACCAAATGAAGTGGAATGGAATTTATCCAGGTTACAAAGACCTAGTTTAAGTGTAAGTTTAGCCCAGCTGCGGTGAAGGAGTATCATGGATGCAACATCAGCCTCAGCATGGGGCACACCACACACATATATATATATATATATATATATATATATATATATATATATATATATATATATATATATATATCCTCTTGGCTGGGGACCTGAGTCCTCCTCCTGCCAGGTGTGGGCGCACTGGTAGTATCCTAGTCCAAACACCCAACCATTAATAACGCCAATAATAATAACTCCATGCTGCATCAGATGTCGCGCAGTGGCCTTACGAAAAGGGTCGCATTAACAGCTGCATACAGCAGGGTGGATAAACGATTACATGCCGTTTGCTGGCGCATCCCTTCTTTCTTCTTCACCTGACCATACTCTCCGCTTCCTCGTTTCACTTGACAAACTCCTCCTATCCAGGAAGCCACTTCCAATGCGGTTGCCCCTCAATACAATCGTACGAATGCTCGCAAACACTCAACACCGGATGCTGGAACGTGCGCACTTTGGAACTGGAATTAGAGTGTTTTCATATGCACGCCGGCCCGTGTAGTGTTCCGCAAATATACCTCCTGTCCGGTGCGTTGTCCTTTTGACTCGTGGGGCGCAAGCTAAGAAGTCGAACGCCTAGGGACAGAACAAATTGCAATATCCGATCGCCCCAGGACTAAGGCAGCCTTGCTTCACACCAGAGACAAATGTAAAGTATTCCGAGATCTATCAACTCAGCTGCGCTCTCGCCCGCGTACCCCTGTGCTGATAATCAATTAAAGTTACAAACTTACTCGGACAGCGAAATTTACCCAACACCAGCCACAACGCCACGCGTTTCATCGTATCAAATGCTTTGATGAAATCAACAAACCGCGATGACAACGGCTGGAGTCGTGCGTTGCAATTCTTTAGCAACTGAAGAGCCAAAAATACTATATGTGTGGTGTTACGAACCGAACGGAATCCACATTGCACTTCCGCCACGTTCGGTTCAACAACCGGACTGAGCAGGATTCGGACAATCACCTTGCCCATACAACTCAGTAAATTTATGCCACGATAATTCGTGCAACCTTGCTTACTTCCTTTTCCTTGTACAGTGGGAGCACAAGGGCATCCTTCAGCTCAGGAGGCACCTCATCCTTAATCCACACGCGTTGCATCAAGTGGAGCAGCGCAGTCACCAACGCAGGTCCAATGTGTTTCAATACTTCTGGCGGGAGTCCGTCGGCACCGGCATAATTACAGTCTCGCAGCTGAGCATGTGCTCTCTACGTCTCATCCAGTGTCGGCGTGTCCGCCAAACTCAACTCCACATCGTGCTGCTTCAGGCAGTTCAAAGTAGGCCAGTCGATCTCTGAACGGTTGTGCAAGAGAGAGTCAAAGTGTTTCCGCCAAATCTCCATTCTGTCTGCAGTCAGTGTGCAGGTAGCACCTGAACTACCATCGATCAGTGTCGTCAGCGGCTCCAATCTCGATCTATACACCGCCTTCAAAAAGGCGAAGAATTCCTTGTTTTGGCGGCATTAGGCGTAGTATTCCATCTGCTTCGCCTTCTCCGTCCACGATGCGTTTTTAATGCGACGGAGCTCTCGGGTCAGTCGCCGTCTAAATTTGCATAACTGACTCTTCTTCCCCAAGTCACTGGGGTCTGCCACATGTGCAGCAAATGTTGCATTCTTCTGCGACACCAATGCGCCAATCGTAGCGTTGTTCTCATCAAACCAATCAGGCCGCTTACAGTGTACGCGTCCGATTGCCTCCTCAGCAGCAGCTATCACCTGTCCGCGAATGTGGTGCCACAGGTCGCCCACTGTGACTATGCAGTCCACATCATACCGGCACGCATGCATCGCTTTCTCCATAGTACCGAAGGAGAGAGTGTTAAATGTTCACCGACCCACAGTAGGAGTGTGAAACATATATTTACGAAAATATATGTGCAGTTTGGTCCGCACCCATTTGTGATCAGTGCCACACTCAGCTCCACGCAGTACACGTGTCAAGTGCACTTCACGCATATCACGCTGACGTATGACGACATAGTCGAGCGGATGAGCGTGACTACTCCATGGTTGCCTCCAAGTTGCTATATCAGTCGCACTCAATGCAAACCGAGTGTTCGTCATCGTCAGGTCGTGAGTTGCAACTCACGGTTGCAACTCATGGTGATAGCAGCCTGTCACCGTTCGCATTCACTGAACCAATATACCATGCGGACCGATAATATCTGTCCACACCAAACCATCATGCCCAAAGCTTGCGTCGAAATTCCTCAGCAGAACTAGTCGGTCACTCCTCGGCACGGACCGCATCTCGGAGGACAACTACGTGTAGAATTGCTCATGCGTGTCATCAGGATAACCCACAGTCAGTGCTTATAAAGTGGCAAGCTTACCTCTTCCGATTGGTAGGCGGAACATCATTAGTCGCGCGCTTATGCCTGTTGGTTCGCCCACCAGCTAGGAATTGGGGTGATCGGACATTGCAAGTCCGACACGATGTTCACGCGGTGCTGTAGTGCCTTGCCCACCGAGCAGAACGTGCAGCCAGCACCTACTTCATGTAACTAAACTTGCTCGGCGAGCTGGGTCTCATTGAGTGACGCAATCTGGATGTTGTAGCGCACCAGTTCCATTGCGACTAGTGCAGTGCGTCGCTCGGGACGCTAACTGGTATTCTGGTCGGGCAAAGTGCGCACGTTCCAGCATCCGGTGTTGAGTGCCTTGCGAGAATTTGTACAATTGTATTGGTGCGCAACCGTATGGGAAGTGGCTTCCTGGATAGGAGGAGTTTGTCAGGTGAACCGAGGAAGGGGAGAGTATGTGCAGGTGAAGAAGAAATAAGGGATGCACCAGCAACGGTATGTAATCGTTTATCCACCCTGCTGTATGCAGCAGTTAATGCGACCCTTTTCGTAAGGCCACTGCGCGACGTCCGATGCGGCATGGATTTAGTATTATTGGCGTTATTATTGGTTGGATGTTTGGACTAGTATGCAACCTGGGAGCCCGCAACTGACATAACGACTAGGGTCTTCATCGAAAGCCGTCGATTAAATGCCCACCCGAAGGGCAGCTGGCCAAGCGCTATGTGTTAGTTAGTCGACTCACGCGGAATTGTGTCCTGTATCTTGGCTAACCGAATAGGGTTACCCAACTCCCACGCAGCGGTCAGCATGAGCAGGCCTCCAGGACGTTAGCTCATAGTACAACATTAGCTGTATTGGTTCGATTATCTCTCGAAATCTCCCGACCACGAGCCTAGTCGCACCATGGGATTTACCGATATATATATATATATATATATATATATATATATATAGCGTTCGGTTGATTTCGTAGTCATTCCGTCATAGCTTCTTTTGCCAGTTCGTGACCGATCGATGTGAAGAGTGCGGTGACTTCAAACGACAGCGTAATTTCATCTTACTCTATTGTGACATACTTCAATTTTTGATGAACCGTTCATTACTGATTGTGCTTTGTTCAGATCCAGCAATTAGATGTCTTAATTTCTTCCACAAACGTTTTGCCAATTTGTATGATGTTATCCTGGCAACGAGACGATTGGACGCAATGGGACTCCATCTTTGTGTAACTTTGGCAGTCCATAGAACTTTGCAATGTTTGAATCCTCAGCTTTCATCTTCCATTGCTCCTGCCTGGTAATCTCACTCATTGCTTGTAGTTGCTTCAATGCTGTGTTGCTCTGATTACTCAGTTTTGTACTGGGGTTTTGATCTATGGGACGATAGCTCGTCGTGTCCGAAATGAGTTGTTTGGCCTTTGCAACATAATCTAGTTTATCCATTATTACTGCCAGGTGTGCCTTGTCTGCTGGTAGGATTACAATATTGTCTTCCGTTT